CTGTTTTTAGGATTCTCTATCTTTAACCTTTGGCATTTTAATTATGATGTATCTTGGTGTGGTCCTCTTTGGGTCCATCTTGTTTGGGATTCTCTGTGCTTCCTGGACTTGTATCTCTTGTTCCTTCACCAAATTAGGGAAGTTTTCTTTCATTATTTTTTCAAGTAAGTTTTCAAGTTCTTGCTCTTCTTCTTCTCCTCTTGGCACCCCTATGATTCAGATGTTGGTACATTTAAAGATGTCCTGGAGGACCCTTAGCCTATCCTTGTTTTTTTTCCTTTTAATTCTTTTTTCTTCTTGCTGTTCTCATTTAATGCTTTTCTCATCCTTATGAATAGTTGATTTGATTCTCAGCCTCATCCTCTCCATTGCTGGTTCCCTATAGATTTCTCTTTATTTCACTTAATGTAATCATCATATCTGCCTGGGTGTCTTATATGCTGTTGAATTACCCAATGAGTTCCTTGAGCATCCTGATAACGAGTGTTTTGAACTCTGCATCTGATAGGTTGCTTATCTCCATTTTGTTTAGTTCTTTTTCTGGAGCTTTATTCTGCTCTTTCATTTGGGCCATATTTCTTTGTCTCCTCAATCTTTGGCAGCCTCCCTCTTTTTGTTTCTGTGTACTAGGTAGATCTGCTTTGACTGCCTGTCTTAGTAGTGTGGCCTGTTGTAGAAAGCATAATTGTGAGTTATATGGGGTGGAGCATTAGGGAGTCAGTCTCCAGGACAGGGCAACCTATATAAGTGCTCCTTGATTCTGTGTGGGGCAGGACTTGGAGAGGGAACAGTGCTACTGCCTGCCCTCTGGAGTTTTGCCTAGGAAGAAGCTGTCTTCTGACACTCACCCTGTTGCCAGTCACTTAAATTTCTCCCCATATGCTGCTGGTGACCTTATAGCTATTGCCCTGGTACAGAGTCCTAGGTGGGGTGAGTCTGCATGAGTCCTTAGTCTGTTGCAGGCCCTTTAAGAGGAGTCTCTCAAGAATCCCACAATTTCTTTTGCCACCACAACTCTTCCCCCCCCTGGCTTTTACAGCCAGAAGTAATGGGGACTTATCTTCCTGGTGCTGGAACTCTGAGCTTGGTGGCCTGGTCTTTGGTTTCGATCCCTTGCTCTGAGTTATCCCTCCTAATTTTTGTTGACTACACGTGGATGTGACTGTCCTTCCTGCATCTCTACATCTCTCAGCACTATTCCCTATCTCCACACTTCACCATGTCTCTATACTTCTCCATGCTTCTCTACCACTCCACGCCTTTCCATCTCTCCATGCCCCTCCATGCTTTTCTATCTGCACACCTCCTACCTGCCTGGATAAATGTAGCTTCTTTAAATGGTTGGTTGTCAGACTTGCAGACAGTTCAATTTTCTGACAGTTCTGGGTGACATGCGTTTTGTAGTCTAGTTGTAACTTTTGCTGTAGTTGTGTGAGGAGGCAAGGCATGTTTACCTACACCTCAATCTTGACTAGAATTCACTGTCTTCTTGAGGTATGCCTATAATGCTATGAACTTCCCTTTCAGGATTGCTGTCACTGTGTCCCATAGGTTTTGGGTTGATGTGTATTCATTTTCATTTGTTCCAAGTACTTTTTGATTTCTTCCTTGATCTCATCGATGATCCATTCATTATTTAATAACATGCTTTTTATTTGGCCTTCAATTTTAAATGATAGCCTTGTTGAATAAAATAATAGTGCTTGTAGACACTTGCTTTTGATTACTTTGAATGCTTCATGCCAGTCACTTCTGGCCTGAAGTGTCTCTGTTGAGACTCTTCAGCTGACAGTCTTATTGGAGCTCCATTGTAGATAACTGACTGTTTCTCTCCTACTATCTTTAAAATTCTCTCTTTAGCCCTGGCTGACATGGCTTAGTGGATTGAATGCCAGCCTGCAAACCAAAAGGTCACCAGTTCAATTCCCAGTCAGGACACATGCCTGGGTTGTGGGCCAGGTCTCCAATTGGGGGCATGTGAGAAGCAACCAGTTCAGGTTTCTCTCTCACACTGATGTTTCTCTCCTTCTCTTTCCCCTCCCTTCTCCTCTCTCTTTGTGTGAGGAGAAACATCACCTCCTTCCCTCTCTTAAAAATAAATAAAATAGTTTTAAAAATTCTCTCTTTGTCCTTAACTTTGCCATTTTAATTATGTTCATTGGTGCGGGTCTCTTTGGGTTCCTCCTGATTGGAACACTCTGTGCTTCCTAAAATTGTGTGACTTTTTCCTGCACCAGGTTAGGGAAGTTTTCTGTCATTATTTCTTCAAACAGGTTTTCTAACCCTTGCTCACTTTCTTCTCCTCTGATATCCCTATGATGTGATAGTGTTATATTTCATTTTGTTTCAAAGTTCCATAAAACCATTCTTGTTATTTTGAAGGGTTTTTTTATTTTTATTTTTGATGCTTTGCTTGGGTGTTTTTTTCTACCTTGTTTTTCAAATCACTGATTTGATCCTCTCCATCTAGTCTGCTGTGAATTCCTTCTAGTATGTTCTTCATTTCCAACTTGTTCTTATTTGTGGTTTCCATGTCCTTTATCATGTTGATGTAGCTCACACTAAGTTCCTTGAGTATTCTTATAACCATTACTTTGAACTCTGTGTTGATAAACTATCTGACTCAATTTCATTTAGCTCTTTCCTGGGGATCCTCCTCTCCTTTTTGGTGGGGTGTTTCTTTGTCTCCCCATTTTTCTCTTCTTTTGTTTCTATGTATTAGATGGATTTCTTTGACTTGTCTTCATGGGGTGGCCTTATGTGGTAGGCATCCTGTGGGACTCAGTGGTGTAGTCTTGATCTACTGATCTGTATGCAGGAATATCCCTTATTTGGTTTATGTGGCGCTCTGTTGTATTTGGGATTGTTGTTGGTCCCTTCATTGGTGGGGTTCTCTTCTCCTGCTGACTGACTGAGAGGCTCAATCCCACCATGTCTTTTATGCTATTGTACATGTACTGACAGAACATCGCAAAACAACACAGAAAACAAAACCCACACAATCAAAAATGATCCCCAACAATAATTGCACAATCAACTACAAAAGTACAAAGAATAATAATGATGGGAAGAGAATAAGAATATTATAAGAATAAAAGAATATAAGATGATATAGGAAAGAAATATGATTATGAGAGGATAGAGAGAAGAGAAACAGTAAGAGTAAGGAATAGGAACACAGAATCATCACAAAAGGTCAAAGAAAAGGAAAAAATAAAATAAAAAAAGAATGAAGGAAGAAGGCAAAATGGAGTAAGAAAAAGTGAGAATAAAATATGACATTTGAAAGAAAAAATGTGAAAAATGAAAAAAAATTGAAAAAGATAAAGTGATGAAAATCTGTGTGAAAGAATAAATGAAAATAAGGAATAAGAATGAAGTAGAATTCATCTCAGCAGAGTTTAGGGGTTGCCTGCTGGGTTCTCCCTCTGGATACTACTCGCATGATGTCTGTTGCTGGTGTAAGCCAATGTCAGATGCTGTCCACGTCTAGCTCTAGGCAGCCTGCTCAAAGCTACAAGTGACCCATGGTTTGTAGCTGTCTCCTTCAGGCTTGGCAGCCTCCAGGATGGGCCTCACTCCTCAGCGGGGCTGGCTTTTTATCATCACAGGGGTGGCTCAATTAATGACTGAAGGCACCACAGAACCTCTTCCACCTGCCTCTGCCTGCAGTCCTGGCATTAGCCTTAGTCTAGCCACTGACTCATCTGTTTCTGAGAGGGCTTCTGGTAGAATTGGGAGAATGGGACCTCTGGATCTCCCATGGGAGGTGCCATTCAGACTTCAATGAAGGTGGTCAGTATGTTCCCTCATCTCCATGCCACATGTCACCTGTCTGACTCTGTCTGGGATTATTTCCCTGAACTCATTAAGTCAAAGTCCCAGTAAGAATGCTGGTAGGACCTACAGGATGCAGAGTTTGGGTCTGCCAGAAAATGGGAGGGCATTCCTAGGCAATCTCATGATGGGGAAGCATCCATCTAATTCCTGGGAAAGTGCATGGAATGGCCATGTTCTAAAGCCAGTCTCTAGTATTCCTGAGTGAGCCTATGTTGCTATCTCCTCAGGAGGGAATTGGAGGCAGGTTGGGGGATAGCAAGAAAGAAAAAAATTAAAAAAGAATTTTTCAAAAAGGATGCAGGGTTGGGTGAGCAGAATTCCAGAGGATTGGCTAGGAGGGCTCCAGGGGGTGGGGTGAGGGGTTGCCCACAGTGTAGGATAATTGTTTTTCTCCTGGGAAGGGCTTGCTCTTCTCAAGAAAAATGGCTGCTGTGGTATGGAGGTGTGTCCTAGCACCAAGAACTCAGCAGCTGTTCCCCCATGCCTCTTCCCCAAGGCTCCCACTCCAGACTCTCTTCCTGTGACTCTAGATTGTGCTGCCCTCCCTTTGCCTGAGCCCAAGGTGAGTAGCTATGAACATACAACCTGTGCCTTGGCCCCTTAGAAAATAAGGAAGGAAAAAAAGAAGAAGAAGGAAAATGGCTTTATCTCCAGCAGGCTTTGTCTCTCTCTGGTGGGGAAAAAAACCCTATGGCCTTTTACTGCTGGATGCTGCTTGAGCAGGTGGTCCTGGCACTAGTGCTTGGGAGCCTGGTCTGGGGTCCAGGCTTTCCTCCTCTCAAGGAGAAGCTCCCACAGCCTGCTGCATACTTGGCCTGCTGCCCTGAAAGCAGTGCTGGCCCCTTTCATGTCCCTGCCCTTTCTGTCTGTCTCAGATATTTTCTACCCATCTTTGGTTGTCTCCTCTTCAGGTAGTCTTCAGTTGTTTATTTTGGGTGGATGCTCTCCTCTTTGTTTCTATTTTCAGTTTTCAGGGAAGCAATGTGAGACAAATTCTTCTACTCTACCACCATCTTCTTTTTGCTTCTAAACATTGGAGGGAAAATGTAAATTTTCTGGCCTTTGAGTGAATAACCTGCTTCTTCCTAAGGTGCTAATTGTAAAAATATTAGTCTGGTTGTCTTTTTTTTTAGAACTTAGATTATTTCTTTATATTACAGGCATGAAAACAAAAAGAAACTAACTACCAACTTAAAATCTAAAGGTAAGAGAAATAAGAGATCAGATTTTCATTTTGTGTTTTGACTAAAGGAATTTTTTGTGACATGCATTTATTTTTGTAAGGGATGTGAAGCATGCCTGTGATTACAAAGGCAGCCCTGCAGCTCTTTCTGGGGAGATGTTGTCTCTGAGGGGATTGAAGAACTTCAGTGACAGGGCTGTGACCTGAGAACACATGGGTGGCATAGGTCATAGTTGCATAGCATTTTAATTTGCAAGTATGAATATGCAGGTGATCCTGAGTTGCACATATAATTGATTATCAACACCATTATATTCTACCTTTGAAATGTTTTTTGCCTCTGTCCCCATCCTTACTGCTAATACCCCACAAATACCCACTGCTGAAGACACAACAGGGCTCTTTCAGGAGACTCAACTGATTTCTTCAAATCCAACCCCTGCCCAAATCCTCACTGTCCTCCACTTGCCTACCAGCATCTAAAACCTCATTTAGCCTTCTTACCTTACTGGTTAAGAATTGTCAATGCCTTCCCACTACCTACAAGATAAAGTCTATGACGTTCTCCCTTTGTGGCCTGGCCCCATCCCTAGTCTCCAGCCCAGGTCTTCCCAAAACCTTGTCCTCTTTGAGTCTAGTCACAAGCAGCTTTTTCAAGATATACCACTTGTACCTCCATGCCTTTGCTCATGTTATTCCTTCTCTGTAATGTTTCTTTTCCTTTTTCTCAGCCTAGCAAGCTCCTATTCATCCTTCAACACCCAGCTTACAAGGAGAATCTAACCCTCCTTTCATGCTAACACTGTGGCATTATTCCTTGCTGAGCTTGGACTCTCTCTACTCCTGTCTCCTTAAACCCATTTCCAGTGAGTTGTAATTGAGAACATGGAGTTGAGTTAGACAATCTGGATGGGACTCCTGGCTTGACCACCAACTAACATTGATTATGGCCAGTTACTTAACTTTTTGAAGCCTTGATTTGATCAGTAAAACAGAGACATTAACACTTATCTTACTAGGTTGGTGGAAGGATTAAATGAGGTCATATGTAGGAAGTCATCAGACAGCTGTTGAGTTGTGTCATGTAGATATTGGTAGTTATGGAGATTATCACTGTAGCAGACAATATGCCTCACCACACCCCATCTGATTGCTTTACAGGTCACCTCAACATAGTTCACTGACATGCCCTTGGCCTTCTATGTCAGATAGCTGTATATGTCCACCTGAGGGTTTTATTAGGCCACAGAAGTAGATAAAGCTCCTATGAGAAAGCTCCTTTACAGGGCAGCCCAAAGTGCCAGGGAGGTGACACCTGATTGAGAACAACCCTCATCCAATGAGGGATGGAAATAACCTCACTTCCTTATTCTTCTTTGGGACAATTTGAAGAGAGTTCTGCAATCTCTCAGAGGGCGTCCTGCAGGACTGAGCCCCAGGTATCATCACTGCAAGCCCTGCTCATCAGCACCCTCTGTGGCTTCCTCTCTTCCCTGTGTCACTTTCCCAGTCCCCCAACCTCCATCATTCCCAGGATTACCTCCCAAATAAACCACATGCACCCAAACTTTTGTGTCAGTGTAAACATCACTACTATTCCTCCACCATGTCTTCCCTTTTCCTCTCTGCTCTGTGAAGAACAGAAGGAGATCAAGGTAGAGAGGCAGCTGAATGAGGTGATATCAGACCTGATAAAACACCCAGATAACTCTGATTCTGTGTTAATGCTGAATTTAATCCCAGTCCTATGGTAAAGAGTTGGACATAACAGAGGGGAAAAGAAAGTATTCTGAAAAGTATTTTCTATAACAATACATAGAACACATTGTGAAATATGTAAATTTGTGCAGTACTGACATGAATTCCAGGTATACCTTCTCAGGTACATCGCATGGTGTCCTTTGTATGCTTTTTGCAAACTAGTGCCCCAATTAACTTGTCCAGCTGATTAAAATGGGCTAATCAGAGTACAGAGATATTAAATAGCTATCTGGTTTTCTCTTCCAGCCTTCTGTAGTGAGTCTGATAACAGTAACTCAGAAATTGAAGCTGCTCTATGTCCTAGAAACCATAGCACATCCACTGATGATTTTGATGATTTTTATGACTGATAAGCTATAACAGTTGTTGAAATAAAGTCTTTAAACAAATTGAAACCCTGTCTTCATATGTGATTTCTGCAATAAACATATCCTTTTAAGTTTTCTAATTGTTTAATATGAAAACTTGGGACCCTATTGCTATTCCAATGAAATTTTATGACATAATTATGTACTAGTATATTCATTTTTCAGTGTTATCAAAAACCAAAATGATGCATGCAATGTCCATCAAAATTCAAATTGTTTTCTTTGTAGAAACTGATGAGCTGATCCTAAAAAATTCATATAGAAATTCAAGGGACTCAGAATTGCCAAAACAATCTTGAAAAATAAAAACAAAGTGGAAGTACTCACATGTCCCAATTTTGAAACTTGCTAAAAACTGCAGTAATTAAGACAGCGTGGTACTGGCACAGATATATAGATCAATAAAATATTGATTTATAGATAATTTAGAATTAGTAATACAAAAACAAATCCTCACATTTATGGTCAATTAATTTTCGACAGTGGAGGAAAGTATGGTCTTTTCAATAAATGATGCTGGGACAACAGGATAGTTTTATGCAAGGGGATGAAGTTGGATCCCTCCCTCACACTGTATACAAAAATTAACTCAAAATGGATCAAGGACCTAAATGTAAGAGCATAAAACTCTTAAAAGAAAACATAGATATAAATCTTTGTGACCTTGCATTAGATGATGGTTTCTTAAATATGATACCAAAAGCAAAAAAAAAAAAAAACAGAGAAAACTTGGTAAGCTGGACTTTACCAAAATTAAAATTTAGTTACTGCAAATGACACCATCAAGAAAGTGAACAGAATGGGATAAAATATTTGCAAATCACTTTTATGCAAATCCAAGAGATTTGTATCCAGAATATACCAAGAACTCATAACTAATAATAAAATGACAAAAAAAATTTAAAAGTGAGTAAGGTTCTGAATAGGCATTGCTTCAAAGATGATACAGAAATGGCCAAGAGGTAAATTAAAAGATACTTGACATCATTAGGCATCAGAGAAATGCAAATCAAACCACAGTGAGATAGTATTAGGTATCTTTATACCTGCTGGAATGGCTAGAATAAAAAAAAAATACGAGTGTTCATGAAGATATGGAAAAATCCACACATACACTGCTGGTAGAGATGTAAAGTGGTGCAGCAACTTTGGAAAGCAGTCTGGCTATTCCTTAAATGTGAATTGGTTAGCAGGGAAATTTCCCAGTCTCCCTGCTCCATAGTGAAGCCCAGTGGGGGGTCTCAGGACAGCAAGCACAGTGTCTAGAGCATTTTTCTGGGTGTTAATATATCACATCTGGAAAATACTGGATGAACTAAGTTCTTCCAACAATCTGACCCAGGGAGTGGAGCTTAAATCTTCCTGCAACACCCCTTTACTGTTGTCTGGACTTACTGACTTTCTTCTACAGAATATAGACAGGGACAAATGGTAACATTACAATGGCGAAAGCTTGCTGACAGCACCTTAACCGTGTGATCAAGGTAAATATCACCAGGTTATGGTTAAGGCCATATATGTCAGGTACTTTGATACGCTGCAATGGAAAAGGCACCTCACATCTGTGGTGTTTTTTCCAAAAACTCATAACTTCAGTCTAATCATGAAAAATAATAATAAAAACTCAAATCAAAGGACATTCGACTAAACGCTTGGTGCATTCTCCTCAGAACTATCAAGGTCATGAAAAAGGAATGACAAACTGTCACAGACCAGAGGAGACAGAGGTGTGACATCCAAATAAAATGTGAGATCCTAGATTGGCTTCTTTAAAAATAAAAGGGACAGTAATGGAAAATGTGGTGGAATTCAAATAAAGTCTAGAATTTAGTTAATAATAATGTACCAGTCTCTTAGTTTTGACATATGTACCATGATATATAAGATTAAAGTAATGTAACCTGAGGGTATGCTGAAACTAGGTTTTACCTTTGCAACTTTTCTGTAAATCTAAAATTATTCAATACACACAAAAATCCAGCAATAATCATTATTGACATTTGGGTGATACCCTTCAAGACTTTGTCTATGCATATAAATTTTTTCTTAGACATTTCTAATCCAATTCTAAATCTTACCAGGTTTAAAAGACTTATACTTACTAAGGGAAAAAAAACAACAACAGAACCTTCAGCCAGGACACTAACTAGATATTTGTCAGTGATACTAATGAAATATAGAATCCTATATCTAAACACCTTTTTATTAGAGGTTATTTGTCATGTGTACTGATGATGGTCCAGAAGAAAGCCTATGTTTGGTGCCATCCGTAACATTTTGTTAGTGTTACCATAGACAGCACAGGCAGCCTACAACAGGGTGAGCCTGGATCTCACTAGCTGTATTGGAGGAACAGGCTGTATGCGGGCTGTACAGAGAATGTGGGCATGCCAGGACCCAGGGGTGCCTTGTGGATACCAACCAGATCCTGTGTATGTGCAGGTACCTTGTCCAGCATCAGGAGGCTGTGACACCTCTAGGATTCCTGACAACAGGTCCTGCAGCAACCCCATCCCCACTGACCCTAATACTGTAGACAATGTGAGTCTACATTGGCCAGGATGGTACAGAGGGAGGTTCTTATACTGAGCACACCAAAAATTAGAAAGATGAATGGATTGGGCCCAAGCAGGCCAAAAGCTAGAAAGATGAATAGGGTTCAGGCACAAAAAAAAGTTAACAAGATAATTGGATAGAAAAAAAAAAGCTCCCCCCTCCCTATCCCTATAAGAGCCACAGGTGTGAGCAGGAAGGAAAGATGGTCTTTAAGATGGGAGTCCACTATTCTTCCAGGTTGCAACACCTGAATAAAACTGTTTCCTTTTGCAACAGCACCTGTCTCACACATGTGAGTATTGTTGCCAGGCAGCAAAACCTGCATTTTTGGTAACAGTTTTAGTAACTCCATCAGGGCAAAGTGGACCTTGATAAGACCTGGGAGGCCAGGGCTGGGGTCCCAGCTGCCTGTAGCAGGCTAACCCCAGGAGCAGGACTGTGGGGATTTCCCAGCAGCTACCAAGAGCTTTTCTCAGGAAATTTTGCTACACTCCTGTTAAAGGCATCAGCTGCCTGAAACACTTGGATGGTGAAAGAAAACAGGTTTCTGTGGAATAGTCAGACCTCAATACTGGGTAACTTGAACCAGCAATGCATACTCAGGGTGTTTGTCTCTGCTGCTTGGGCTTCATGCCACTTGGGCTTTGTGCCACTTGGGTCCAGTCAGAATTGCTTGTGATACTGGTTGGCAAGAGATAAAGACACTAGAATGGGCTTGTGAGAACTTGTTTGGACTAATGGAATTATGGGTTCAAGTTTTGTTCATGTATTCTCACTTTGGGGTCTTTCTGTGGTTATGGTTTTGAGTTGGTACTTTTGTACCATCAGGGGTTGTTCTATTTTACCCCTGAAAGGAGCCCATTGGGCCAAATTTCAGCAGATTGGTCCATGTACAGCTATGATCCATGACTAAGAAGGAAATGGTTCTTTGTTGTAACACTCTTTGACCTATGTATAGACTATAGGGAGAAGTGGCCCCTAAATGATTCCCTAAATTAATACACCATCATACAGTTGGCATTGTTGTGCCAATGGTCAGGAAAATGAGCAAAAACTCCTTATGTCCAGGCATCTATGTCTTTACACAATAAGGATTTGGCAAAGAAAGAGAACAACCTAATGAAGTGGAGAAGGGGAATGGCTTCAAAACTCCTCCCTGATAGTAAGACACAGGAAGAAAAGGAAAATGAGGAGATGAGCCTCCTGAATGCCCTGAACCTTGGGAACACAGGATTAGCAACAAGATTTTCCCTGCCACTACCCCTGCTGCTAGGTACCCTGAAATACAGCCCAGAAGTTTAGCAGTCCCACCCCTATATGATGAAGGAATGATATGCCTGTTGACCTGGTAGGGCACCCAATTTGTCCAGGGAGTATTCCTATCTAGAGCAGGACAATTCCTTTTAAGGCAATATCCTATAAGCAGAATAAACCAGAAAGTCCAGCCCATTGGCCACTACTGGGCCCATACTCCATTTTCCACTTCAGACTTACTGAATTAGAAGAATTCCAAACCATCATATAGGGAGGATCCTCAGAAAATGGCAGATCTTATCACCTCCATTTTTTCCACTCACCATCCAAACTGGACAGACACACAATCTCTCCTTAACAACATCCTGCTAATGTCACATGAAAGGTGGCTAGCTATAAATAAGGCTAATAAAGAAGCTCATTGCCACCCTGGCTGGTGTGGCTCAGTAAACTGAGCACTGGCCTGTGAACCAAAGAGTCCCTGGTTTGATTCCTAGGCAGGGCATATGCCTAGGTTGTGGGCCAGGTCCCCAGTAGTACATGCATGAGAAGCAACCACACACTGATGTTTCTCTCCCTCTCTCTCTCCCTTCCTCTCTCTCAAAATAAATTAAAAAATAGATTTTTTAAAGAAGCTCATTGCCTGCATAAAGAGAATCACATTGGGAGTCCCAGCCCATCCAGTGCAATACCTTTAACAGAGCTCAACTGAGGCCCAAATAGTACAGAACTAGCCTTCGTAGAACTTTCCAAAAGATGCATATCAGAAGGGCTAAATAAAGGGTGTGTAAAAATATAGCTCGAATATGATATAGGCTATTCAATAGAAACCAAAGGAAGATCCTTCTGAATTTTTAGAAGGGATCTATCAGGCCTATCAAAAGCACACTGATGCTGACCTACAGGCACAAGAAAATGTCTGAATGGTTAATTTGACTTTTATTGGGAAAAGTGATACCCAGACATCAGAAGGAAGCTCTAATGTTAAGATATGGCATTGGGAATGATGTCCTCCCAGATGGAAGACATAGACTTTGAAGTTTACCATGGCCAGGAAACAAGAAAATTAAAGCAGGCCACTGTTTTCTTAGAAATGATGTGGGGGGAAGATGGCAGCATAGGTAAATAAGGCTTCCTCCTTGCACAACCACATCAATATTAACACTAAAATA